TAGATGCTATATTGGCTTAACAATACATTTTTTCCCTCCTAAAACAAAACATGGTTAATAAGTAACGTTCTTAATTTACAGCATCAAATATCTGTGCAAGAATATCATAAAGTATTAAAACAATTGAAGAACACATGTACATGTGCACATATAGATTATTTTAACAGTTACAGGATATCAGTTAGTTTCAAAATTATCCATGAACTATTATTTGCATTACACTGATTTTAGCATAATATATAGACATTACAGCTATAGCGAACAGTTTTATTTTCTTTGCTTAAACAACAGATGAAGTAACAATAAAAGCACAATCCCCTTTGGCAAACCGTATAAATATCAGGACTATACCTTGACTGTCTGTGGAGTCACCGTAATGTAAAGCAGTGACTGTCTGGTCCATATAAATTGCAGCGAAGTATTTATTTGTGCTGAAATTAAATGATGGATGGAATGAGATTTAGCAAAAATAAGTACAGTTTATTTATTTCAGCACACAGGTTTATTTCCTCTCCATACACTCTACATCATTGCAAATCAGCAATGCAACAGAGTCCTGTAGAGTAACACATAGTCGTGTGATCTCCAAATATATATATACACATGCACAATGTCCTCAAATTTCAGTTTTGATGCTTTTCAGTCAACCATGGAAGTAGAAGGGAGGGAATACAGCCACAAAAATATACAGTGTTGTACCTGAAAAATGCCGAGTTCAGTTGTTCTCAGGTCTACCAAATGGCCAAGGTGCCCAGGGTTGCTCATTGACTTCAACTGTTTCTTCAGCCAAGTCAGAAGAATAAGTTGCTTGCAATTCTATATCTTTGTCAAGTTGAAGGAGACAACATCATCTTACTTTTTCCAAGTAGGGGTGGATCTATTTTTAGGAATGCCACTAGTGCAGTTGCCGTATCCTAAACTGGTTCAGCAACATTCTTTGTCTTGAACCTCTTTAAGCTATTAACCCATCTACCAATATGAAAAACTGAAAATGCTGGAGAAACTCAGCAGGTCTGGCAGCAACTGTGCAGAGAGAAGATGCTGCCAGACCTGCTGAATTTCTCCAGCATTTTCAGTTTTATGTCAGATTTCTAGTTTCCACAGTATTTTGCTTTTATACTAATAGAAGAATTTCCTTTCTTTCATTTGAATGGCAGAATGGAGCTCATCAAAAGGCAGGTTTGACTAACACTGCAACATTTAATGGATTATTTTTGATGATAGAAGAATGACTTTCTGAGTTGCAGAACTAAGATTAAACATGGAAGTTATTGTGGTGATTTGGCATGCTCATTCCTTAGAGATAAAATTCAACTGTAAAGTGGCCTTTTTTTTCAGTATTTAAATCAAGAAAAAAAAGTCTGGAATGAACTTTTCTCCAAAATAACCCAGCCTTTTAGAACAGAAGAAAGCATATTTGCTTCTAAATAATTTCCATATTGTGGACATACCCCAAGCAAGCCTCTTCTGGTGACTGATAATCAAATCCAGCATTTCTAAAAAATCATATTTGTTCATTTGATGTGAGCATCACTTCTAAGATCAGTGTGTAATGCATAATCCTAATTGAGAAGATGGAATGAAATCTGTTCTCTTAGACAGCTGTAATCCACCTGGAATATAATTATGCTTTGGAATTATTTTAATAAAACACATCAACTTCCTTTAAGAGTGGAATTTAAGTCTCAAGTGCCTTATGGGTCTGGTATGACATTTAGGTACGACAGAGACCCTTGTTCTGGTTACAATGCAAGTACACTGCTAGAGAATTGGAATAGAAATAGAAATTGCTGGAGATATTCAGCATGTCTGGTAGCGTCTGTGGAAAGACAACTAGGTAAGACCATTTGTTTCAGACCAAAGGCCATTCAATCAGGATATTCTCTCCAAAATGCTGCCATACATACTGAGTATTTCCAGCGTTTTCCATTTTTTATTTTCAATAACCTGAATCAGGCTGGTTAGCTCACTTGTCTAGATGGATGGTGTGCAGTTCAGAATAATGCCAATAACACCAGTTTGATATCGCTTCTGGC